TTTAGTATTAATCTTCTGGATTTCTATCTGTAGATTTGGAATCATTTCTAATTTTTCATTTATTTTGTCATTTTGTTCCTATATTTTCTTCCAAAATTCTTCTAGGGTTTTGTCTGTGTTTTCTTTGGTCTGTTTCTCAATTATTTGAAGATACCTAAATATAATTCTTTTGAATTCCTTATCAGGGAGTTCCAATGCTGCATCTTCCTCAGGGCTGTGTTTTGGGTCTGTATCTTGGTCCCTTATTTCTCCTGCTTTATCTTGCTTCTTTGTGTGGAGTGTGATGCTCTGTTGTCTCTGAGGCATGGTGACATTTTTATATTTTTATTTAATTAGTAATTATATGTTGGAGTGACTTGCCCAAAATTTTTGTTTTCTTTGTATGTTATCTATACAGGCAGGGTACTGTGCTGTGCTCCTCTATTCACTAGTTGGCAGCACTTATGCACTCACCACCTATCTCCTTTCCTTTGTTAGCCTCTCGTATGTCCTTGCTGATCCTGGCAAACAGAGCCAGTTCTTAGGTCCCTGGAATCCGAATGAGATTGCTATCACTTTAAATATCCAAAATGGCTGCTGCTTGTAAATATTCAAAATGGCTGTGCCCTCGGTCACTTTAAATATCCAAAATGGCCACTGCTTGTAAACATTCAAAATGGCTGCACTCTTTGTCACTTTAAATATCCAAAATGGCTGCCACATGTAAACAACCAAAATGGCTGTGCCCTCCAGACAGCAGAAAGTCCACAGCTCAGGTTGTCTCCTTCCTTGCTGTTTCCCTTCCTAGTCATAGGCCACCAGAGCAGTTGTCCCTGCAGCTGTTGGTGACCGGGACTGATCTTTAGGTCAATTCTCAGGTCCCAACACCACTTGGAAATATTCAGGCTGTTGGTCTCGTCAGAGTGCTGACAGTCCACAGCTCCAACTCTCTCTGTACTCACTGTTTTCATTCAGGTTTTTCCACTAGTTGGTGCCTAATCCACTTCTGTACAGTTCCTTTCAAAGCTCAGGGTTCCAGGATTATCTTCTGTACCTCTGTCAACTGGTTTTTCTTTTCTTTGTTGAAGAGGGTCTGTGTCGCTTTTCTTGTGAAGTCTATATCTTAAGTCTCTTGATTTTCTTTTCTGGTTGTTCCATTACCATTTCTTCCTCTGGAACATTTTCTGTTTATTTTAGTCACTTGCCAGAACCATCTTGTACTGCTTCTTTATGTGATTTGATATTGCTTATTGTCTTTGAGGCATTAAGATTGTGGTAGTTAAGGTTGTGTGTCAACTCAGCTGGGCCATGGTTTTGAGTGATTGGGCAGCTGGATGCAGTTATTCCCCATGGTGATATCAGTAATCACCTTCATGGTGGAATCTGTGAACAGCAGCCTTCAGGATGTGTCCTTCTGCCAGTATATAAGGAGAAGCTTTTAGGAAGGTCTGAAGCTTGTTGGCACATCTGGATCCTGCATTTAGCTGCATCAGCAGTGGGCTGCCATGTTGCCTGTCAATCTTGGGACTGTTTCTGGACTTAAAGTAGTGGCCTGCCATATTGCTTGCTAATCTTGAGACTGTGTCATTTTACTTGTTGATCTTGGGTTCATCAGCCTCAGCAGCCAGCAGCTGCCTGAATTAAGAGGCATCTCCAACTCCAGTGGGCCAGGAATGAGAGATAGAGCTGAAGCCCAAGGTCAAGGGCACTTCACCAAGCCCTTAGAGCTGGCACTTTGAACTTGGACTTCTAGCCTCCTAAACTGTTAGAGAATAAATCCCTGTTTATTTAAAAGCCATTCACTTCTGGTATTTCTGTTAGAGTGGCACTAGAGATCCAAAACAAAAATGTTATTATATTTATTTATTGTATGTTTGTTTGCTGCATCATCATTTTTTGTTTTATTTTTGGTACATCTGAGTAGGCAGGACATCAGTGTTAATCTGGTCACCAGTTGGACTGCACTGGAGGTTTCATCACATGTCTCCAGGAGCGGGGGGCAGCAGCTAGGTATGTGAGCATGGATCTCTCTTCACTGGTCTTGCAGAGCAGCTGAGGATGAAGCTGGTGAGGTGATGTATCTGTCTGGCCAGTCACCTGGGATGGGTATAGGCAGTGTTCTCACTGGTAGCTTGGTTGAGTGTTGTGAAT